ATATATTATTTTTTTTATTTGATTCTCTTACCAGACGCCTTCGATATATCCAGGATTTTTATAAAAAAAAATTCTTCCGCAGTTAATAACTACGATCATCGCAAAACATGAAAGTCCCTGGATCTTCGCTGGAAATCATATTGCCCAATAATTAGCCGATCCAGATTTCCTAAATTACCCTGTATTAACATGCATATACGCTCGAGCAATAAAAAAATTAGTATGTACGGTCAAAAAGATTGTACCAATCGCCACGAGAAAAATATTTGACTACATTGCTCGGGTTACTTAGTACCCTAAACGTTTTTTATTTGCAATACATGCTGTGTCATATGAAAATCGTGATTCGAAAAAAAGATACGATAATTCAGTCTAAGTAAGTATGCAATTCATCCAATAATTCTCCTAGGCGGTTACCGGAGAGATAATAGGACTCATCATTGGGGACCCTCTCCTTTCGTATCTTCCGTCACGATAGTAATAACCTCTATCACGTTCACCATATCCATTATATCCATCATCATCCGAATCGTCTGGCATCTCATCTCCAGAAATACTATCAGGATCAGAGACATCATTACATGAATTGGAGTATACAACAACTACTGGTAGTTTGAATCTCAGCCTTTCTTGATCATCGAGCGAACATTTCAAAAAATACCATTTTTCTGCATCTGTGACAGCAGGGTTAGTAAAATTTTTACGAAGTCTCTTGACCTTTTCCAGCACATTTTTGACGAAACGTATTTGAGGGAATGTATATCGGATAGAGAATGATTCACTATGTATGCGCGCGTTTTTTCTACAGTAATTAATTATACTACAATATAAAATCTGTTACCTATATCACGTAAGCAATAATAATATGCGTTCATGCAACTTTTATTTTTCAGTTAATTACAGAATTAACTATTTTACAAATATTAAGAATTTAATTTTATATCATATACAAAAAAAATACACCAATTAAGCCCATTAGAAGATACGATCCAACCGTTTTGCTGTCATTGCGGAATGTTCAAGTAGCAATCATATCATAACCTTCGTCTATATCCTCTGGCAAAGTCTTTAAGTCATAAAAGAAGGCGTCATCGGGTAAAAAAAGCCAGTCTCGTACCCTTTCAGTAATGTTGTCAGCTGGATTGGATATTTTTTTTCGTAACTTTTCTTGTTCCTTAAATTCATTTCGAATGGTTTTGAAGAAACTGAAGATTTTTGTAAAATGCGAAATGGAATCAAATGAAAAAGGGATTATACAAGTAGCCAGCTCTATTGCCAAGTATTTCTTTCGGTCTATAAGGGAAACAGAAAATAATGTAAGACGGTCACCAATAACCTGAATACTGTAGGTCCGTACTCCTTTGGCATCTTTGACGCTACAATCTAGATTACTGCGAAACAATTGGCAGAGATTGCAGACAGACATCATCAACAATTTTTTTATGTCTCCAACTGCGTGTGGTTGTGCAGTTTTGAATGGTGATCCTGAAACTTCAGTGTTCATCACTTCCATATTGTCTGATAAACGTTGAATAAGTAAGTCTACTTTTCGTGAACTAATATCATATTCAAACATATTATTGGTCACCTTTATTGAGGTAACATCTTTCTCGATCCACCCATATTTGATATCCGGAAACGCATTTCGAAATGCACGAAAAATTGGAGATAAACATTCAACAATGAAGGTTCGCTCAGACATGTCACAGTCCAAAACTCTCGGAATCTTATACCTAAAATTTGCAGCAAAATCTAGCAGTGTGTACCGAATAAAAAAGTTAAATCTCGCATCCTCTGTCTGATCGCCATCTTTAATTGTTGTCTCCTCAATGATTTTTGATTCGATTTTGCTGTAATCAGTTTCGAATATTACTTCCAGCTTTCTAATAAAAGATTCCTGCAAGATTAGTTGGTCATTCATTTTCTGTATCTTTTTTATTTCCATAAAGGTTTTATTTTCAGTTGTTTCCTTAAGGTAATTTATTGTGTTGTTGAACGCGCAAATCAAGTATGGGAAATATTCATCATACATCATTCTCGTTACAATGGGTTTGTTTGGTGTTAGATTTGAAGCTTGATCTGCTGATCGAATTAATGGACATTGACGCAAAGTAATAATATCTTCCATGCCTAATGATGTTATGGTTTGTTGTTCCTGGAAAGGCTTCGATGTTTCTTCCGAAATATTAACATGGCTCACTTTTCCTTGCTTAATAGGTTTTAAAAAATAATATTTAAAATGGATGATTTATGCCGTAATACAACGTTATACTACTCACCCTCTTCACCCTCTTTTTTGATTTTCCTTTTATAACGTAATCTGAATCCGAATTCGTTTCTGCGTCTGATTCAGCATAATTTATTTGACTTCTTTTTCGGAGCACCCTTCCCTGAGAAAGAGTTTCTTCCTCCTAATGTATATAAAATCATAAATTAAACATGCATTATGATAAATCAAGGCTTAAGA